AACATCCCTCTTTCGAATCGGTAAGTAATGCAAAACGTCGTCTTATCTAAATGGCTTGACCACGTTCTTATGTAAAGGACTGCGATTTCAAATTCAAATCCGCTCTTTATGTTACTGTTATTGCTTGCGAGTCCTGTCAAAAACACGCGGCTTCTACAATAGCTTTATCTGCATGCAAGCCAAGATCCATAAAATATATTTGTGAGCGCTATGGAATCAGAACCAGAATTGAGTAATGTTGGCTTGTTTTGTATAGATACGTAGCGGTCAGGAGTCCCGAATAATATAATCGTAAAACAGAGCGATTGCTCCCGACTTCCTATGATTACAAACTCTCGATCCTTCGCATCTGATAAACCTCCCCTTCCCATATATTTTCCATCGCATAACGATCCCTAATTTGCCATTCTTTACTAAATCACAAGCGTTCTACCTCCACACTAATTATTCTTCCCGAAATGTACCCTATATATAATACCTGCACATTTTTTCCCTCGAATCGTTCGTGAATATCTTTGCGTATATATAAGAGTTAATACCCCACCAAATAGCTGGACCATTAAGAACGCTATTAAGACGTCCCTTTTACGTTACAGCCCCATTACGACGAACTCTAGTTAATCCTTAAGTGCCACCTACAGCGTCGCAGGCGTCTTTAAAAATGACATTCCGCTATACAAATACAATTAACCAATAATCCTCATGACCAAATCCCCTGTTATTCTTCTCCATACATACATTTGACTGAAGGGCATCAGGGGACTCATCCCAGTTATTATGTTATCGAGATAAATACCCAATACTTTCGTGCTCGTGCCGCAACGTGGGCTTAAGGAATATCAATCAAAACAATTTAATAAAATCAGTAGGTATAAATATAAAAGACATTAGTTTCGCAATATTAATCCTTTCAACATTTAAAATGTTAGGCACATAATATTAGATTCGCATAAGGCTATATTTATTTTATTTCTAAAGCGTTTTTAATTTTTATTGCAAAATTTATATTCGCCATGTAACCTAATTAGGTATTATGCGTTGGAGATGTAGGTACCTACATTCAGTCTTTTACTTAAACGTGGCGTTGGTTTTTAAGTGACAACCTTGGTGACAACTATCACCTATGACTGGGGACAACCTTATTTTGTTATTGCCTTTCCAACTTTCTAAAATCGTTCCTTTTAGCTGAATGAGAGATAACGACAGCTGGTGAGTATAGGATAAACGGTAATGGCTGTTTTCCTGCACTGTAAAAACATGTCGTGTCCACTTTGTCCTTTTCCAAATATGTTAAGGAACACAGGGCCTCAGGTATCAATTGATGGGGATAGGTTGTAATGAAATCGGTCTTCCTTGTTTTGCTCCAAATTGGTAAGCAATAATACCTTATAACTTTATAACTAATACTTTAACTTCTTTAAGTTTTGCTCCCATAGCCAACATGTACCCTCACTCAATCCACGTTTAAAACTAACAAAATTTGCAAGTTCTTTCACAGTGGTCAAGAAAGAGGGCAAAACCGAGTAGGAATTATTATGAGCACGGAACTTTATAAGGGTGCAATCAAAGTGATTTTTGACTGTGATAGAGTGCTGATCGCACTAAAGCTTAACAGAGTAAATCAGGAAATGGTAGCAAAGTTGAGAGAGAGAGAGAGAGGAAGGTACAAAAACATCAATACCAAAGGAGAAAGAAGACATTTCGGAGGCTAAATACGGAGTTGACAAATAAGCTCATGTAGCTAGGATGAGATGGTAGCAAAACCAATGCAATGAAATAGACAAGCTAGATAGGCCCAGAACAAAAGAGGGATAATAAATAAATATTTACAACAGAATTGGAGAGGTTACCTGGGAGATATAATCAAGAGCTGGTTGTACCATGAGGTAGAAGACATAAATGGAAAGGTACCGAAAGAAGATAAAGAAAGTAGAAGTCGATGGAGAGAATATATCTCGATAAAACACATTGAAAACCAAGGCAATTGAAAGTGGAAACAGAAGAATCAGTCTGTCCTGACAATATCGGAGCCAGTATTATGTTTACCGAAGTAGAAAGGGCAATGAAAGATATGAAATCAGCTACGAGGATAGATGGAATTCCAGTAGATATATTAAACCTATCAGGAAAAAGGAATGACGACAAATTGAGCATTGACATAACTACCATATTAGAAGATCACTCACCACAAGGTTTCACTTTTCCCACAACCGTCCATCCCAATAGCTCTGGCATCCAATTGGTGTTTAATAGCTCAGGAATCCCACTGAAAACTTTGTCTTTATTGTGTACGTCAAAATGACATTTGAATTTGTAAGAACTTTGCTTGTGTATACTTTTAAGCTTCTGTTTTCTTTCTTCTATTGACCACTCTTCTCCTATGAAAAAATCCTGAGTATCGTGACCCTCATCGGATACAGCATTGCGTCATTCTTGTCTTGTCTGAAGTTACTTTTAACGACTCCAATACACGCAAATGGCTTTCCACTTGGTGGTAAAGTTGTGATGAATTGCCTTGTTTTTCTATTTGACTGACAGTGTGAATACCTAATTATTTTTAGCATCTCACGTACATAAACTTCAACCAAGAATTCTTCTCTCCCAAACTTATCTTTTAACGCCTTTATGACTTTGGGATTATTTTCTGCAGTCCGCGGATAGCACGTGACCCATTTACAATCAATTATAGAAACCAAAAATTGAAACTTGTCCCTCAGTAATGTCTTCGTTCTTCGTCTGTGTTTTTAAACTGACTCCAAAATCCTAACCACTCTTTGACTTCTACATTAAACTGCGTTTGCAATTACATTTTGGCAGTTTACCATTCCTTCGATTACCCAATACAGACAAATTTTCACTTAAGAGATACGGGGAAAAATAAAAAAAATGCTGTAGCTAGCACAGATACTACCCGCAGACTTGCGCATGCGCGATTCTGCCCTTTTCTGTCTAAGAATATATGTACCAACGATTGCTCCACTCGGTTCAACCGTTTAGCCGGATATGAGAGTACAGACGGACCGACAGACAAACCGAATTTATCGAGATTTTGTTTGATTCGGATTCCTGGTGCTTCAAAACGCACGTCCGTCAAAAAGTAGGGTACCATTCTTCACTCCAATGCAATACCTCCGTTACTAACGTACGGGTGGTAAAAATGGTTAATTCCATCAGGATTACCCCATATTTTCTTAGTTAAAATAGATACAGAAAAATGTTTGTTACAGACTTTTCTTGATAGTAATTGTTGAATAGTTTTCAGCATAAGTAGGTGTACTAGGTCAGGTAAAAAAGTTATCGGACCTAACTTAATTTTTTTGAATGGAATACCCTGTATATTTTAATTTCAAAAATATAGTGCACCTTGGACGATTCAAGTGTTTCAAGACAATTCAAAGTTCATGTGATTCCAAACGATATTTTTAGACTTAAAAAAATGAGGTTAGGTTCAGTGACATTTTTATCTGACCCCCTGTACTTATTTTGAAGATGGCGGATTATTAAAAAATCATTATAAAGAATCTTGTTAAACATTTTTCTATAGGTACCTCTTTTAACTAAAAATTATATTAATTCTATAGGGTCACACAACAAAAACGGACAGCATTTAACAGATTTATTTTTTCGTATGTAATCAATGTTTTAATTTTTTCCTCTTTAATTTTTATAATGGCAACATCAGCTAAGGTACCTGCACATTAAAAAAATAAATTTTGAGTTGAGTAACTATTATTTCAAATCATCCATACCTCCCTGCCCAACCCTGTATTTTTCAGCAGTGCAGAAAGGTAAACAAACCAACGAATCATACCTATATAAAAAATAAGGGTAAATATATTATTATTATTATGGTCGGTGTTTCTTGTGAGAACTCAGGTCTAGCCTGGTTAACTAATCGCACGGATTAAAATCAAGTAACGATTAGTGTCTGTGTCTGTGTCTGTGTATATATATATAATAAAAATTCACACACGCACATTGGAAATCTAGGGATAGTTTATTATTATTATTATTATACCTACGTCTGGTAAAGGACGTACCTAAAAGGAGACATCGCCTTTCATGGAGAGCAGCTTCCACACGAATCTCCTTTATGTGGTGTGTGCATTTGTGCAACATTTAACTAATAGAAAGGAATTCCACGTTATAGTCTAAATATCAAAATACTTATAGCGTTCTACCTACATGTAGAATTAGAATCAGTACCTAATTAATACGGTAAAAAATGTAGGTAGAAATTTGATCGTCTACATATAACAGGAAAACATAAGTAAAAAACTTATGAACTTTTATCTTGATGCTGTATAGGTACATTTCGATGTCTTTACCTATTCTATTGAAACAAAGTAGGTATAGGCACCTAAAGTCAAGAGAGAATCGGCGAATACTTGTACGCCACGGTGAAGTGAAGACATTGTGAATAATTGCTTTGCATGTACCTATTTACCTGCCAAATATTAGTAGGTACTCACATAATCAATTCATCAGAAGTTAATATCTGCATAATATGCCATGAGAAAGTGTACCAGAGTACGAAAGTTGTATGTACCTATGGATCACTGTTTAACCCCCAGTTGAATGTTACCTTTCAAATTGCAAGTCACAAGGCATTCCTTTTTAAGGTGTGCGTCCACCGAAAAGGAACCTACATTACATTTAAAGAGGTGTGACATTAATTTGAAAGCAGTGGATTGAAAAAGTATGCAATACGAAATTTGAACAAGATGCATAAGTAATATTGAGCAATGGTTGGGCGTGCTGATTGCTCGTGGTCAACCGTGGGTGGCCGGGGACCAAGAGGGTAGATATCAAGTGGCTGTCTACAGAGCATGTCGCCACCGCCACCGCCACCGCATACTTTTCTGATTGATGACTTCAGTCAGGCGAAACTGATAGTCGGACCACACACAATTTAGTGACCGCCTCCGCAAAGCTCCTCCCTTAATACATGCTGTGAAAACGACGCTCCGCCTTCAGGGGGAACCCTCTTTGTGTACGTGAGAGACCCTAACCGACTTTGAGAGAGAGTCAGTCTACTAGGAAACCCCACATATACTGGACAGTAGTCATGTTTTATTAAGGTTGACAGCTGTTTATTATAAACGGGACGAGAAAGAAAAAAAATTATCGTGGTGCTTATAGTGATAGTGACTGATTTTTTCTGTCGAACTGATATTTCGGACGTGTGCAGTGTGATATGCTACTGGGAGCGATGCCCGATGAAAGCGCCGCGGCGTTACTGCTGCCAACTGCAAAGACGCGAGCGACGGACTTCTCCATAGCTGCTATCATGGCTAGGGGCGCCGGATCGCCACAATCGTGTACGCGGCCGCCGTCTGTACATTCCACTTCAAATGATGAACAAATACATGATGGTTAGTAGATACAACCCTTCTCTAATAGAATATTATTTTTAAAATGTACTCACGCCGACCAAACTTAATTAGGCACTTGTTAATTATATACCTAATAGGCCTAAATCTGTTTGACTTTAGCAATTTCGGAATGTGGCAAGATTTAAAACTATAGGGGTGTATAAGAACGGTACAAAATCTTGCGACATTAAACAGGTGTATGCTTAGTTAAACTAATTGGCAATTAAGTGATGGAGAAAGTAGTTAACAGAAATAAGGATAACCATGTGAGTCGTCTATCAAAACGTTTCACATCATAAACTTGCATTTATAAGGCGCTGCACACCTGATTATTACTTGAACAAGCCGCTTTTCGCTAATTTATGATCGCTTTTTGAATCCTTTACTGACGTAAATTCCTGGATCAGACATAAAGATGCATCTAATTTTAATATACATATATGCTTACTCTGTTCGCTGGTAACGGAAACGAGAAAAAAAGGTTCACGCAAAAATAAGCGATAATCTCCAAATTTTACCTACTTCCTGTGGCAAGATGTTACCTAATATACTTTTTATGAGTCGTATAATAGTAGACTTCATATATTACACAGGGTAATTTATAGCATTTCTAACATTTTTATTAGAATAATGGCGAGTTATGTCGGATTCTCTCAAGCGTTAGTTACCTACCACAAATCTATGAATTCTTAATTCAAACACAGGGAATTTAGTCGAAATCCTTAAGCAACGCAATTCAATTGTTTAAAGAAACTAATGAGCTTCAATAAAGTGCTCACTTACTCAAACCCCTCAATGCCTTATTACTATATTATAAGGGTGGGAGAAAATAGGAGAGAAGGTCTTGCTTTACAAGAACTGAGGTATAGGTACGCTCATTGACAAAAGTAAAGATCGCCTAATAGGTAAACTCTGCAGCATAAGCAACCACATCGAGCTCCGTCGGTTTCTTCAAGAAGGAGATACGTTAATTTGTTGGTTCGCATTTCTAAGTTGCACAATATATTCAAATTCAAAATTCAAATCATTACTTTTGTCAATGACTGTACTTACATGAATTTTTCATGATTTTCTTGATCTTTGCACTTGCGTTTAAAAAATAAACCTGGTTCAAGCATAATCATTGGATTGTATTGTATTAGTGTCTAAACTAAAGGAAAAATGTTTGTGGTAATGCAGGAATATCCACTACCCCCATATACACACGTTGTAGGTTCTCCCTGTAGAGATGTCAAAATATAATTTGATTAATGCGTATGTATATTGTGCTGCCAAGTCAAATCATCTTTCCAGACAAATGGTGGGAACCTTTACTTACATTACAGACTATACAGTTGAATTAAGTTTTTTTCGAGGTTTTTTTTTGTATAATCAGTAGGTATAATTAAGATGTGATTTGTAAACATTTATTTGTTTATAATGAAGATACAAGCAATTTTTTGTAGTACTATGGAAAATATGTAGGTATGTTAAACAATATTAGATACAAAAAATAGCTAAGGAGAGATATATGGTCAAATAATTAAATTATGTAATATGCAAGAAGTAAAAGGACGCAAATATAAAAAGCAAGAAGAAGCGATTTACCCTCGGATTAATACCTATAAATTTACGTACTGAAACATATATAAAAACCAGGTGCCAAACTTCTTGAAAGAACCGCTTCCTAGCCCAAACCAGATATTTAAACGCCACCGCCATAATTTTGACGAAATCAGCATAACCGTTTTGCCGAAAAAAAATTACAGTGCACTTGTGCAACTAAGCGACTTCGTATTTATCATGAACGGTGTACCACAAGGGTCTATTTCGGGTCCATTACTATACCTACTACATTATTATTACATTTTCTATACAGAAGACAATCCCAATAAAGGCAATATTAGTTGTGCAGATATCCTTGTAATTGGAGCCGAATAAATATTCATGGAATAATTAAGTACAAATACAATACAAATACCAAAAAAACAATAAGAACAGGAATGTGTAGGATTTTCTTTTCGTTTACCCAATTTGTAATTGCTTATAGTTCCATTCAATAGACAAACGTAAAACCCCATAATAGTTACATCATTATTTTTGCAAACCACATCAGAAGTACACTGATCGAGGAAGGAGAATGATATACCTATTAAGATAAGGATCTGAATAGCACACACAACACGATAATGAATTTTGAAACACGATCGTCACTGGTAGAAGGGACGTGTGTTTAGCAGAACGAGTCGGTGAAATTGGATATCCAGGAAGATCACACTTGGAGGATTGTTAACCAACAAGGCTTAGACTTCACCGTCAAACGTCTGCGTGAGAACAGCGCCTAGGCTGTATGCCGAAGCGTCAGTCTGTAAGTAAAATGGGCGATTGAAATCAGGACATGTAAGTAATGGAGCAGTAATTAAGTACTCCTTAATTTTTTGAAAAGACTTCTTACATTCCGGTGTCCAAAGAAATTTTACATTTTTCTTTGCCAGATGACTAATTGGAGCTATATTGGTGGAGAAATTCAGAATAAAGCGACGATACCAGTGCTGCAGTGCCTATAAAAAGTCTAACCTCTGTCACATTCTTTGAAGCAGGGATGTGCAAGATGGCCTTTACCTTTTCGGGATCACTCCTCAAGCCATTACGATCAACAATATAACCGAGATATTTTAGTTGTGGCAAACAGAACTTGCATTTATCAAGGCTGACGGAAAGTCCTGCCATCAGTAAACGATTGAGTATGGTATCCAGTAAGCGAAGATGTTCGTTGAATTCTCGGGAAATGATTATTATATCATCGAGATATAGCAGTACTGACGGTAGCAAGTCACCACCCAGAACCTTGTCAATGATTCGCTGCCAAGTTGCGGGTGCATTGGTAAGGCCGAACGGCATCCGGTTAAATTGAAATAAACCCCTTCCGGGTATGGTAAAGGCGGTGTACTCCTTAGAAGACTGAGATAATGGTATATTCCAGTAGGCGGATTTGATATCGATGCTGCTCAAAATACGTTGCGTTTCTCAGTTGGCCCAATATTGAATTTATGTATGCCAGGGGGTATGCATCTTTTTTACTGCATGCATTCAACCGTCTAAAGTCTACGCAAAAACGATATGTGTTGTCCTTCTTTGGGACTAGACATATTGGGCTAGACCATGGACTCGATGATGGTTCAATAACACCTAGACGCAACATTTCGTCCAGCTGCTCATCGATGATCCTTTGTTTATGGGGCGAGACAGGGTAATATCGTTGTTTGATGGGTTGGACTCCAGGGTTGAGTTCGATTACATGCTCTGCAACTCGACATAGGCCTAAACCAGCAGGTACTTGATTCAATTTCTCTGTTAGGAGTCGATTTAATTGGGCACGTTGTTCTGCCAGTAACACATCATCATTATGAAGCGAAGAGATGGTAGCGATATCGTTGGAATTCGTGAAATGCCAGACGTCTTTCCTGAGGTCGGGTATGATATCCATTGCGCACCAAAAATCGATTCCTAGAATTAGGGTATGATCTAGTTCAGGAACGACAAGTACATCTATGAGTTTAATTTTTCCATTAGATTCATTGGGGTAGTGATTGTTCCGATGACTGGACATGAGTGTCCATTAGCGACGGTGATATGTTTCCTTAGGCATAATAGCTAAACCAAGTTGCCTAAAAATCTGTAGTCTGGAGAACCTATCAGTGTACGGCATGCTCCGGAATCTAACAACCCTAGTAAGGGATAATCTAAAATAGTAATTTGTAGGTATGGACGCTCGTCTCCCTTTGCATGCGCAAGAATATAATCCAGCAAAATTTGTTGACAAGGGCCAAATGTGTCGGTTACGCAGCGGGGATTTTCATCAGATTTGGCCGGTTGGTGTTGGGTTCCCGAGGACGTACGGTCATTTAGTTCCTCGGGTGTTCGTTTCCCGAACACTTAGGGCATATTCAAACATTTACGTCGGGGTTTCCACACTTATAACAATGAAGACGACATGGCTGTCTACAGTTTTGCGATTTGTGTCTTGATTGTTGGCAATTCCAGCAGGTGAAGACACGTATGGCGTCACAAGGCTGACTTTGCACCTGATCCATGTTGGGTATCGGGTCCTCTGTCACAGACGAGATGGGTATACTGCGCGGTTTGTGATACGCCAAGGTTGGTTCCAAAATTCGAGAGTAATTGTAGGCGGTGGGACAAAACTCTGGGCACGCTGTTGCACATCCTCAATGCTTCTGGACAGTCGAACAAGATCTGCCAACGTAAAACTATCGTGTATCAAACTAAAAATAGTTTTTCCGCTACTTGACGTTTTCCGTCTGGCACTTCACTAGCGTGTATTATCTGCTGCTCAATAGAGGGCGCTTTTAAGTATACCTAAATGTGTTACCCATAAAATGCATAATAAGGTTAGCCATCTGTTGTATGTGTAGATCTGTGGTATTACTAATAGTAACTAATTAGATAATAAAAGGGTATTAAATTAGATATATGAAAATCAACCGTTACAGTAACAGATAACAATTCAAACAAACAAGAGGGATAATGAATAGCGCGGTACAAAATATTGCGGTATAGCAATGTCTTACGGCTGACACTAGGTAAATCGAATACTAAAACCGTAATTAATACTCAATAAGGATCAATCATTCAATTTACGTTACTAAACGGAAGCAAAATTTTGAGACGACCACGAATCGCTCTTAAAAATTTGTGTATAAAAGTATAAACGTGACGTTAAATTCAAGAATTTACATTTCGAGGAAAAAACGTAACCATGTACACTGTGTGCTACACTAATCAAGGCAATCTACATAATTTGCGGTCAAAGGCGTACTTCAGCACGGTCAATGGGGGCATATTTTTTAAATGCCAGTTACTAATTTTCATTACATATTATTAAAGAGTAGGTACACACTTTTTTGGATATAACAACACAAAAGACATAAAAGTATTTATGAGAAAAACTGAAATTAAGGAAACTTTAAAAACCTACAAACTTAACCACTATAATCAGTGGTGTGCGTTTTTTGTCAACTTTTATAATTTTGAATACCCTAAAATGTTTCTTTAAAAAATTCTGCTTTAAAGATATATTCAATGTTCCAGACAAAATTTTCACCCTGTATAAAAGTCAATTAACCTGTATGAGCAATTCGTTTAGACTTTTGATTGGATCAATTAATTTATTTCGCGATTTAATTCGTCGTTTTTAACTTGATAGTGTTTTGATTGTGGTTTTATTTCTAGAATTCGCGGAATTAATTTATTTCCACTTTCACTCGCAGCTTTAATTAAATTATATTAATTATTTCTTGGAAATTAATACAAGAGTAGAATTAACAGGGCTGTTTTAAAGAAATATAACGTTGTAAAACATATAAACTCTTTATTATTTGTTTGTGTTTCAATCATTGGCCTCACATATTTACTGGGGCCCTGTTGCTTGTTCTTTTCACGTCGCGAGTTGTTGGTGACGGTCACGTGGTCGATTGTTTTCGGCGTGTACCATTTCTTCAGAATATGTAAAATTGTTGATGGTTTAATTTTAGGAAGATATTTGAAATACGTTTCAGATTTTCGAGTTTAATTTGATGGCATAAGAGAAATGGGTTTTTTAAATATTATTAAATTTAGTCGCATTCATGCGCATTCTTAAAAACACACAAACAATTGAATAAGTTGCATTGGCAAAACAATATTTCGGATATTTTGTTGATCCACAATCACATGCCACACTTATTAGATTCTCGAATTCTCTAAATGATTAATGGATTTTGGAAACGTTAAAACGTATAAGTATCTATGACATCTTAAAATTACACTAAATACAGCCTGATTTACAATATAAGAAACTTATGCCATGAACTTTAACACTTGTATAACATATTAGCAGCTTATTGTAAACAATGAAGTACAAATATCAAGAATATCTGAAATTGTCCAAATATTTCAAACAGTTGATTATTTGATAATCGATTTTAATAATCCACAAAATCGATTGCATATGATCAAGTAACGGATTAATGGAAGTAACTTGTGTTGAAAATCACATCATACATACTCTATCTCAATGATTTTGTATATGCATTAGATGAGCGATTAGTCAAATATTTGTTCATTTATAAAATCATTGATTAGGCTAACCAAACGACCAATAATAATCGATTACTCGTTGCACGTAAAGTGATCATAACAAAGTTGTCTCGAACACAGAAGCCATCCCCTAATATTTGAAAATCGTTTCAGATCATCTCTCCAGATTAAGCTCGCCCGGTTTAGACGACGGCCTGGAAGATGACGACATCGAAGTCGACGTCGAAATTTGCTCGGACGGTGCACCCTCTCCTAGACCAAATAAGATAAAAATGCTCCGAGAATCTCCACCGATTTCCGATTGTGGATCGGAGGCGGCGGAGACGGACAGAATATCGCCGGACTTAGTTTTAGATCGGCCCGTATCGAAAACAAAAATCCTATGCAACTGTGAGGAGTTAGTTAATATAGAATGTCACTTAGAAACTAAAGACTTGTGGGATAAGTTTCACGATCTCGGCACCGAAATGATAATAACGAAGTCTGGAAGGTAAGTGAAATTTTCGTCAAGCTTTATTATTAGCGATGCAGTTCGTTTTGTGGTATGTGGAATATACGACGTTTATGATTGTGCTTTAAAGTAATGAAGGGATTTTTCGATTATTTCAATGGCGTTTAAGCATTAGTTAAGTAGTTCTTAAATTTCGTTTATGACACTGCAGTTCCATAAATTCTGGTGTTTAACGTTCCATTCTCTTTACAGCGAGTAAAATTTAAATATAAGTTAAAGTAATGGAAATATTTAAGATTCTAAGTTATTTTGTATTATGAACTCTGGGTCTGTCATTTTTAATGAATCGACGACAGATTTAGGTATTTCATGTGCTTTAATTACTAACAAGCTTATGTGATAAATGGCCTGGTTATCTACTGCAATAGTTTTTAAATTAGGTCCTATATTACAACGGTGGTTTAGGGATCGTCAAAAATCGCCAATTCTCTTGTTCTAAGGTTGCAAACCAGAAGAATAGTTCAATTAATAATATCATAGAGCCCTACTTGTAAATAAAACCCACCATTTATGTAGATAATGGCTATAATAGAAAACGAATGTGGCAATACCTACTTTTGTTTCTCTGATTTCATGTCAACTTATAGGTAAGATCTTGATTTTGATCTCTCATAAGGATTTAAAAATTATATTTCTTTTGGAATTGACCCGTAAAAAATGTACATGCTGTATTAGAAACTGTTGGCTTCAACAAGATTGTCCACCCACGCACAACGCCCTAATGCTGTTAGAATACCTATCGGACAAATTTTCTATTTGCTGGAAAATTTTCTATTTTTTTTCTAAAAAATTTGTCTGATACATTTTCGTACGATAAGGGCGTTGTGCGCAGGTGCACCATCCTGTTGAAACTAACAGTTTCCAAATTCTGTTTTTTGTGTGTGCGGTATATCGTTGTACCTATTCCTATTAAAAAATGGTACTCAATACAGTATGCAGTATGCGTTTTGTTAAAAAACTCTCAACGCTGTCTTGTAGAGCTCAAATAATGGCAATAAAAGAGTACTTTATTATTTTTTGGAATCTGTTCAAATAGCATCAGAAAAAAATAAAAACAAAATCGGCAGATTTCGGATTTTCTGGCATATCTTCGGAAGTAATCGGAATTTTCTGGTTTTATCTACAGCATGCATTACAATTTAGGTGCGTGAAATGAGTAATTGCGCTACTTTTGATTTCCAGAATTCGATTATTTATCACTATCTATTTCAAATTGGACTAACGAATAGTTCGGTGTTAATTCTTAGCTAAGGGTCTTTGACTTAAGCTCACAGAAACACGAGTCTAAAAAATGTGTTATTTTGACGTGATGTTTACGACGGCTCAAGACCAGTTTATTCATTCGTCTCTTTTGAACCCACTACATTTTTGCAAAATTAACCATTTTTCCCAGGCTGCGTAATTTTCTTTACCAAGTACCGGATGTGATTAATTCTCATTGACTTTTATTTTATCTCGACGCACAATGCAAACTTCGATTTTACAGAAATAAAAAACTCTAAACTCGTTTGCAAAATACCAGTTTTAGAGAAATTTAGAATAACACATTTTGGAATACCGGCCCCCTCAAGAGATCACCTACATAACATGAACTATCCTGACAAAATTCAATTCTATTTATTTATTATCCCTCTCTTGTTCTGGGTCCCTGACAGGCTTGCGCCCCATTACAGAGTGACATGCATAACGCTTTTTAGAGGATGCTTCTAACACCACAAAAGGGAAAAAAACAACCCCATTAAATGGCTCTTTTTAGAGGATGCTTCTAATACCACAAAAGGGAAAAACAACCCCATTAAATGGCTCCCGTTATATTATAAACTTATCAATTCTCATTTAAAGAAATAAGCGAAAAAATGAGACGGTTTCCATTAAAAATTACGCTTTTTGATTTTGGGCCGTCGAGAGCCATAATGGGACTCGGAATAGCTCAGTATTTTAGACCAGATATTAAAAATTATCTAAGATATCAGTCTAATACACCTGCACATTACACATGGAAATATTTTATAAGTGCAGAAAGGCTTAATTATTTAATCGTAGGTAATTTTACTAACTAGTTTATGCTCTGATAAAAGTAATGGCTCAATATTATAACGTAAATTTAATTACGTGCTTTAATTATTGGCAATTAATAAACAATAAATTTATAACAGTCTTAAGGTCGGATTTCGTAAGGACAAGTCTCGGCGACTCTGGTGGAGTTTTGTTTCAAATAGGCACATAATTCATGAGTTTTATTTAATTTTAGTTGTAGTTTTACTTTTGCTGTCAAAATAGTTCAATAATTTAGTAGGTTTTAATTGTTTTTTTTTTTTGTAATTGAAGACGTAGAAGATAAGAAACATGTGAGTAAAGGGACTATTGCGTCCATTTGAGAATTATTTAGTAGATGTTTGATAAAGGGACTTTATCAAAGTAAAATTTAATTGATTTTGATAAACGATAGTACATGTGCAAAGTTTGTTGATAAGGAAGTGCGATGTAAACAAGTGCTCGCATGTCGTCGGCCCTTACCGAAGATGAAAAATGGGATAGAGATGGTCTGTACTTAAAAAGGTTTGTGCGCCGATTTGCGAGGCGATCTCGGTTCATTTAACTTAGCGTACGTAACAGTCCGTTGCGTGTAAATTCAAATACGCATTTTTTCCGGTAGTCAACTGATGTTTCGAAGTATAGTTTGCCACTTAAATGAAGAATAAATGATACAGTATTAGTTTTCCGATTGATGCCCAAAATTGGTGTTCACGGAATTAATTTCAAGTTATAGAGGAAGAGATGTTTCGTCAATTTTAAAGTTGTTTCTTTGTTAAAATTAAAGTTACAATTTTCAACAATGTCAATAGTTATGGAACCAGTGCTGGTGATTTAAAGAAAAATAAAGAAGAAAGTTTGTATACTCTCAGAATATATAAAAAATCGTATTTGTTACTCTGCTGTTTTAGCGCGATTATTCATATGTGGTTTTTTAAGTGGCTTAGTAAAGTAGGAATTTCTGATTGCAAGATGCAGTTACGAAATTGATTGCGATAACCGGATTAGTTTTCATGAAAAATACGAAATCTCGCTTACTGTTGATCATCGGTGATGAAATACACATCACTCGCGATTATATAGATATAATTAACAAAATTTAATTTTATAAATGCAAAATTAACCTGTCCTAATTTATAACGCTACCAAAACGGTACACATTTAATTTATTCATCTAAGTCATAAGTAGTTGATCGTTTAATTATAAATTAATTGAATTTATACGAGCCAAAAAAACCCTCGGTGCCACTAAAGGATTATAAACAACACTAAAACGACTTTCGGTCAATTATTTGCGAAACCTAATTGAGCGGAACTGGCAATAACGCGGTTATTAGAAATTGCAGTGCCGCCTATTGACAACCAAAAGGCAATATGAAAAAAATGCACGCTTTGTTAGGTCCAATATCAACACGTATTCAAAAAGATCAGTAAAATTTTAACTTCGGTCGCGACCCGCTGGGCTACTTATACGAAATGTCATTCATGTCATGATTTTTTTTCGAACGGAATGACGCTCAGACGGATCAAAAGCATATACCTAAGTTTGAAATTAAATTTTCGGATGATGGCACATGACATCGACTATAACCTTTCTTTGTGTAAGAATCGGTCCCCTATTAATCAAATTGCGGTTTTCTACATTATGCTAATTAATTCTTTTACATATTCCCGAGTTATGTTCTAAACGCGCGCTGCCTTAAATTGATTATAAACTTGTAGGCGAGTGAATGCAGATTGCGTGTGTTGCAATTGCATCCGTTGCATTAAACTTCTTCATTGTAAATATTCACTGAACTGATTAATCGCTATTGAATTCGATTCAGTCAAAGGAAACAATTTACAAATTGTTATGGTTTAAAAAAATGTACATCTAAAGTTCAATTAGGGTTGAAATGCAAGGACAAAGTTTACGCGATTTAATTACGTTAATACATGAAATCAGGATGCGTGTTATTTTACTATTTCATTAAATTATTAATCCTATACATGAATACGAATATATGCAAAACGGGCATTTTCCTTCCAATTTTCAACTATTCGTTTGATAATATCGTATTAATGTTGTAATTACTCACGTTTGCAATTGAAGGTATGCATGGAATGTGTGCGCCTAATGAATGTTGCGTATCGGTATGTTAATTCGTTTTGTTACGCACATTTTAATACTTTAAGTACGTACTAAAAAATTCGACCGTATAAATTCGTAAATTACATTTGGCTGCCTTAATTACGCGTGGTGTAACACATAAATAGGGCGTTGGACACGTAACGTCTGTGTTCTGCAAGCGGCGCTTTGTATCCAACATTTGGACTCGTAATTTACGTAATCATCTCTGATTTTGATTATAAAATACTCAGTTTGATGTAAAAAGGCTTGCGTTTAAAGCTCAACTAAAAACAGTACCTTCATCTATTTCAGAATACTAATATAAGTTACTATTGGACGTTCGACTGCAATACAACTTTTTAAATCTACCTGCAAATGGACTCAAGTTAAACTAACTGATCGTACAAAATAGCAGAACGTAAGTTTGTGATATTGACATATATTCTAACAAGACAGTTCTCGTATATCAATTTTTATTTTAATTGCTTTATTTAAAAAGAAGGCACCAATGTACTGCATGGTTCTTGCAATGGTAGATGGTGCCGCTAGTTATACATGTTAAATTCAAATAAATTCTTTCGAAAATTGTCCTGTTTTCAAAGACTTGATAATCACTTAGGGTTTGGCCTTTGCTGGCCGTGATCCTTCCTTTATTCGCTAGACTGTGAGCCATATAAGCATACATATGTACTAAAGTTATTACAAAATGTACAAGCGTGCGGTCATTTCTTAGGGATGGGTCAATTAAACCTCACTTAACGGTCAGAGCTGGAGAGTAATCGAATCACTTATTTTGTCACTTTGTGGTCAAAAAACACGTAGTTACCAAAAATGC